GTGATGACTTCTGGAGCTGTCTAAAAGCTCTGGGAGCCCAGAGTTGATGCCAGCCTTGTTTAATTTCAAGCTTGCTGAATAGAACCCAGGAGACTCAATCCTTTCTGCCAAAGAAGATCTGAATACCACCAGGGCCTACCTGCAGGGCCTCCAGAGACCGAGCGAAGTCCCCAAGAGTCATCCTTACTGCACTCCATGAATGTGCATGTACACGCGCATGTGCACACGTGCATGCGTGCGCACACATACACACACAGAGGTTGAGTTGCTTGTCCGATATGAAAGCCTCTAATTCTGATAACCTATGACATAGACACCATGGGCGATCCACTGTACAATCAAAGAAATCAAGCCAGTAGGAGGTGTAATCTTGTTGGCCAAGGCCAAGGAAGGATGAGTATGTGACTGAGCTGGGATTACCTCCAGCCATCGGGACTCCAAACCCCATATTGTTAGCCTTTCCTTATATCTCACAAGAAACCTACTGTGTCTGGACCAAACAGGAGAAAGATGCCCTGAGCCAATGCCTGTATTTAGTCACCAAGATGCTTGATGGCATTTATGAACTTGGAGAACAATGAGAAACTCTCCCAGCTTTGAGGAATGACAAGTCATTTATCAGATCCTGCAAACATACAAAGAAAATCCTTTAGCCGTTCTTTTCTTTCCTTGTCTTCATAAAGAGGCCTGGCAAAGGAAAAAAGAAAAAACAAAAACTTCTTTCCTTTTTAGTTTTAGACAGTTCCAGAAATTGGATTCAATGGGCACTAGTGGCTCACATTTGTAATTCTAGCTATTCAGGAGGCTGAGATCGGGATGATCCTGTTTCAGTGCTGGCGTCTGCAGAAAACTCTGCTATACTTGGCAAAAAGCCAGGGTAGAGGCATGGCTCCAGTGGTAGAGCACCAGCTGAGTGAGCAAGCAAGTGAAACAAAGTCAACACAGAGGGCATCTGTAAAAAATAGGTCTAAAAGGATCAGATCCAATTCATGAGAGAGAAGACCATGGAGGGAAAGACACAGCTGTTTCCATAAAACCAGGTAGATGGAGGCAGTGTCTACTAAAAGCCAGGCTAGTCTGAGTAGCTCAGACCAAAGAGTACAACTATCTCTTTCCCCTAGAAGTTCTTATTATTTGGGGGATCTTGGTAGAAAGGAAAAAAATCACAATGTATATCTCTGCAGATCTTTTTTCTATATGTATGGTTCCCTCCAATTATGACCTGTCATGAAATGTTTGTTATTTTAGGTTGAGTACAATGGCTCATGACTATCATCCCAGACACTTGGGAGGCTGAGATCAAGAGGGTTATGGTTTGAGGTCAGTCTTGGGCAAAACATTTAACAAGATTCCATGACTCCATTTCAACAAATAAATCAAGTGATAGTATTCACCTGTAGTTGCCAGCTCCACAGTAACTATGGATAGAAGGATTTTAGCCTGATGCTGGCCCCAGGCAAAATATAGAAGACCTTATCTGAAAACTAACTAATGCACAAGGTCTGGTCTAAGGACATGGCTGAAAAGGTCAAGTTCTTTAGTAGCAAATATAAAAGGTCCTAGAGATCAAATCCCAGTACCGCCAAGATTCCTTGTCCTTTTTAAATGAAGAGAGTAGCTACAAAATGGGGAACTTTCATAAGATATGATTAATACATCTCTGTATTTTCTGTCAGTTTCAATTGTGGTCAAATAGCAGGTGTTTCCAGGCAGTGAATAAGTAGTTTGCATTTTTAAAATTAACAAACACCACTAAGGGGAGAAGAAGGAGGAGGAGAAGAAGAAAAAAATAAAACACCATCCACAGCCCACCAGAGTACTGTTTACCAAAGATGAAGCAGCTCCTGGCGATGGTTTGCAAACACCACCAGACTAGCTAGTGTAAATTCCCTGCGTTTAGTCATCCCTCTTCAGCCTGTCATAGATACTGAAGGGAAATGCAGAAACAGGAAATTACAGACTATTTTAAACAGCATGTTTTATTAACCTCACTTGCTGATGCACTTTATGGCAGGATGCGAGATTCAAGTGTTCATAAGTTACATCTTTGCAAGTACTTTTCCTAAGTGAGTTCTACCAGCGAAAATATGGCATGTACCCAGGGCTGGAAGCAATCTCTAAACTAGTAACTGTTTCACCCCAGGTCATGTAGCTATATCACATAAAACAGAGGTTTTAGCAGCGTGAAGAGAACATGCCTTGCTGATGTAACTCTAAACAACAAAGCCATCTTGTAGCAACTTATAAAAAACAACAACAGGCTTTAATGCATTTATTTTAAAGCACAGAATGAGAATAACAACAACCTTAAAAGGAATTACTAGAAACTATACATTATGTCTTCTTCCTTAAAAAAAAAAAAGACATAGTGATTTTATTCTTCTTTTCATGGGTTAGCGCTGTATCTAGTTTAAACCAGACTAAATCCTTGTCCTTGAAAAGGCCTAGTAAAAATCGGCAGGGATGGGTGATAAGCTTAATTATAAATAAAATGGCTCCAAATGTATGGGACTGTCATAAACATGGATGTGAACAATGAATTATTTCTTCATGTTTCCTGCTCTCAATGTTTGAGACATAAATGCCCGACTGTATAACATAGGAATCTTTGCGTTCCTGTCTAATAATTTCTGTGGGGTTGGTGTCTCTTCATGCTCATGTCTTCCACAAGTCCTGTGTGCTCTCCTCTGGACACACAGAAAGGCAGTCACCAAGTGCAGCTAGGTTCAGGTTTGTAACTTGGAGAGTGGAAGCCATGCCTGATGGAGTTAGTGAGCTCTAAATATACTTTCATTCCTTTCAGCTTTTGTTTAACAAAATACCATGTAATGGTTCAGATTTCTATTGCCTTAAAAGATCACTCCAAAGATTAGTGATTATTCTAATTACTGATCTGTTGTCAGATAGTAACTTCTGCTAGTTTTAAATCTTTCTACTCTCCTCTCATAGATCCTGTCCCTAGAACTCTTTCAAGGTGAGGTATAAGAAAAAGATTAGCTGGGCAGTGGCTGGTGCTTCACACCTGTAATTGTAGCTATTCAGGAAGCTGAGATCTGAGGATTGTGGTTCAAAGCCAACCTGCGCAGGAAAGTCCGTAAGATTTTTTTTGGGGGGGGGGGTCCGGTCGTGGGGCCTGAACTCTGGGCCTGGGCACTGTTCCTCAACTCTTCAGCTCAAGGCTAGCGCTCTACCACTTGAGCCACAGCGCCACTTCCAGCTTTTTTCTTTTTGCTTATGTGGTGCTGAGGAATGGAATCCAGGGCCTCATGCATGCAAGGCAAGCGCTCTACCACTGAGCCACCTTCCCAGCCCCAGTCCATAAAATTTTTATCTCCAATTAACCACCTGAAAACTGGAAGTGATGCTGTGGCTCAAAGTGGTATAGTGCTAGCCTTGAGTGCAAAAATGCAGAGACAGTACCCAGGCCCCAAGTTCAAGTCCCATGACAGACAGACCAAAAAAAAAAAAAATAGGGTTAGTTAGCTGCCAGTGGCTCATGCCCTTTAATCCAGCTACTCAGGAGGTTGAGATCTGAGGTCAGTCTGGGCAGTCTTCCCCGGCGGGCTCATCTGACAGACTCTTATCTCTGATTAGCCAGCAAAAGCCCCAAGTGTTAGTATGGCTCAATTGGTACAGCCCAGCTTTGAGTAGAAAAAGCCAACTGAGAATGTAGAGACCAGAGTTCAAGTTCTAGTACCCGTACCAAAAGAGAAAAAAAAAAAAACCACAGGATTTTTAAGAGCTGAAGCATACGATATTGTTCTTTTAAAGTGCTTTTGCCAGACCACGTTGTTCAACTACCTACTTTCGGAACGGAAGGTCCAGAGACAAGAGACAAAGGCTTCGGTTAAGGACGTGCAACTACATAACCCTGGGGAAGGGCAGACAGAGGCAGCACAGGGTGGAGAGCACCACAGCCTTTCCCAATCTGTCCTGGGCAATTCAGGTCATGGATTTATCTTACCGCAAAGGAGTGTTGGCTCCTTGGGGAAAAAAATCTAATTTCCTGTCACATGGGTAGAAATGGCAATGCCACCCAGGGGCCCTGGAGGTCTCAGGCTAGCACCAAGCAAATGTTCATCATTTGGGTGAATGTTTAGGGACTGTTTTGGTAAAGCAATTTCTTTTAGTATGCTGGAAATACTGTGAAGAGAAAATGACTGGCAATAACGGATTTTTTTTTTATGCGGATGGATTCAAAAGTCTTAACTCAAGCTGTGAGAAACAATTCTAGAAGGTCTTATTGAGCAGAAGCATGAGCTTCTCTTTGGGAGGCTGAGACCAGCCTGATTTACAATGTAAGACCTTGATTCAATAAAACAGTACTTTTTTTAAAAAGAGAAAATTAGCAACTCTATCATGTTCCTGCTTTGGCCATGAAGAATACATGAGATGCCCGGACCTCTTAAAAACAAAAGGATGAGTCATACTTTTTTCATATTTAAATCTCCATGTAGTTATCATGCTTATAGTAACAATGCTGCAGTTGACAAATGAATTATCCTCCAAGTAGCTTTCCCCTTTATCAAGTAAATTTTAGCTTCTGAGAATAAAGTTAGTATAACATTATATGAGCTACTTATAGTAATAATTGTAGCTGTTCTGTCCATTTATAGAGGGGCCATCTTCTTAACTAACAATACATTTCCTAAGGGACTTGTGAAGGGTTCAATACTTACAGCTTCATGCTACAAAAGGTTTTCAGAAACTTCCCCCACACAAACACCTTTACATTTTTTAAGATAGACCCTTATTTAATCACATCATTTAGGAGCATTGTGCTTCTTAAGCAACAAAAGACAAACCTACAATCTAAACGAAGACCATTTGGAAACACTGGCCTCTTGAAGAGTCTTATTTTGAAATTGCTTTGTAGTCCCTATTTACTAACTTCTGGATATTTTGAATGTTTCCCATTCACCCTCCCCCCCCCACCCCCCAGCAGAGACAGAATAAAAGAGAAATCTAGCTAAAATGAAATGTTAAAAAAAAAACCTTAATGAATTTTGATCATTTTAATAAATATATATCAAGAAAACCTCACTTTATTACAACACATTCATATACAGGCATCTATTGTCTAAATTTTCAACATCAAATGTTTATCAAATATTGAAAATAAAGGACAAAACATTACTAGACTATTTAGCTATAACACAAGAACATGTTTTAAAAATTGGTCCTTGCGGACAATTGTCCAAATGATCCTACTCATACACTGTATGAATGAGACCCATATTTAATATTAATAGCCATAATAAGAACAAAGCTTTATCTTGGAGAAACTGGGAGGTCTTACCTACTTCCTCCGTTTGGCATTTGGTTCCTGTGAAGTATTGTTACGGAGGTCCAAGTCAATTAGTGATCTTGGCAATAGGAATTAGTTTAGTGGAAGGAGTTGGCTGGAGTGAACGGAAGAAAGGTGGTCAGAGCCCTACTCTGACACTCTTTCAAATGGAGGAGAATATTGGCCAAATACATACATAGTCACTATTCCACCCCAAGTCCCATTTCTCCAAAATAACTTTTCAAAAACTAAGCATCTTTACATTCTTTAAGATAAAACCTTATGGATCACCACATCATTTCTTAACATTGTGCTTCTTAATCAACAGCAAAAAGTCATATATAAAAAACCACATGCTTTTATAATCTAAACGAGTGAAATGATGCAAAAAACAGATTAAAGGATAATGCATGCCACGGGGTTCATGAACTTCATTGGACAAGAGAAAACAAAAGCAAAACAAAACAATCCCAAACCCAAAAAACCCAAACCCCAGCAACAGACCAGACTGTTACCACAGAAACTCTCAAGCAGCTAGTGCTGGATCCTAATAGCTCTCGCTCTATTGTCTCCTCTAAGCCCTCTTCCCAATGTCAAACCCAAAGCAACTGGGCATAAAAAAGAAAAGAAGAATAGAGATGTTGAATCAAAAGTCGAACACAATAGTTCAAAGTTAACAGTTTCCAAACCATACAGATCCACCCTGTGATTTTTTTTGTTTGTGTGTATATATGTGTGTTTTTCTTTTCCTCTTTGTTAAATCCCTGCTGTAACTCTGATTTATCCTTAATTTTCACATTGGCAAAAATTAAGAGAAAGTAAGGCACCAAAAATCGCCCTGTATACCACCTCACTAAAAGCTTCATCACCCGTAAGCTACAGTGAAGTCAGGAATTCCCAGGGAATACCCCTCTCCAAGACTGTTGATTGCTCCCCTAAACAGGTGTTTCATTATGTCCCATCCTACTTTCCTCTGTCACAGAGAGACTGTCAGATACAAATACTTAATAGTGCTGCGAAGCCATTTCATCTAGCTCTCTGTCTTCAGTCTTTTATTTAGAAAAAAAATACTGCATCATAATTGAAGAAGCAGACCATCTTTTGCTGGTTATCTTGATTTGCTTACCAAAGAATGACTTAATTAATTGGCAAATGTATTGAACTTTCTTATCTAATGACAGGCTTCTTGGGAGACAATGAAAAATATCACAAGGTCACATAATCCCCCAATCTAGTCTACTGACTTTGTTTTTGGTAAGAAAACTAAGATATACTTTTAAGCATTGCGTCAACTGTTTTCTTGGTAAAAAGAAAAAAAAAAAATCACCACATTTCTAAGTAGCTCGCTGATGCCTACTACAGATGTTTTCTGCAATCTGTTCTCCAGGCATTAAAACGACATGGCATGTTCATGGCATAATTTCATCAGTTGTACAAAACTATAAAATCCATTCAAAATAAAATTTATGAGAGCTAATTGATCGTGCTGTGCATGCTTCAAAGTTTTGGCGAGAAGATGGCTCATATTTTATTTCCTTTGCTACAGCACAGCTTGTTACTTGACGAAGGCTCCTTTTTCCTTAAAGACTTTTTCCAAGACTCGCTCACATTGTTTTTTTCATTATATCCAGTCTCAAAGTAATCATAAAATTGGCCTTTGCATTCAAAATCAAGGTCATTTCCCACAGGTTCATGGCTGAGGGGGTCACCATCTCTGTTGGTCTCGTGATTTGCTTTCTCATCATTTAATTTGGCCTTTTCCTGGACACCAAGCGACCTGACATTAGTGACAAAGATTTCATTGGCAGGTATCTGGCCATCACTCTTGTAAATAGGTGCACTGCCCACGTGGAAATCCACCTGGTGGGAACAGCTTGGCAAAGGCAGAGGGGGAGAGGAGGAAGAGGAAGATGAGGAGGAAGAGGAAGAGGAGGCAGCGGCGGAGGTACTTCCAACACTAGCATTTACAGAAAGAGGCAAATTTAGGTAGTGACCACCACATTCTTGGTAAAAGCAGCAGGCATGGAACTTTTCGCACTCCTCTTTGGCCATCCGTGGTCGTTTCCGGTAAGGACAGTCTTGAGCCATGAACCACTCTTGGGCGGAGGCGCCATTGAAAGAGCAGGCAGGGAAGCACCAGTTGTTCTGCATGAGGATCTCTCCATGGATCCTTTTCATCAGGTTGTTGATGAGGACAGATCTTCGGAGGTACACCTCAGGATCATCAATAAACTTGAGCTTTTCTAAGGACATATAAAGGATGTGGGCTCGCTCCTCAAAAATGGAGATCGTCTAAAAGTGAAAAAAAAAAAAAAAAAGGAAGAGAAAGCTTAGGAGATGGACAACATCAAAATCTCACCACTTGGGCTGGGAAGTTGGCTCAGTGGTAGAGCGCTTGCCTTGCATGCCTGAGGCCCTGGGTTCGATTCCTCAGCACCACATAAGCAAAAAGAAAAAAGCCGGAAGTGGCGCTGTGGCTCAAGTGGTAGAGCGCTAGCCTTGAGCTGAAGAGCTGAGGGACAGTGCCCAGACCCAGAGTTCAGGCCCCACGACCGGACCCCCCCCAAAAAAATCTTACCACTTGTTAGGTGCCAGTGGCTCACGCCTGTAATCCTAGCTACTTAGGAGGCTGAGATCTGAGGATTGCAGTTCAAAGCCAGCCTAGGGAAGGAAAGTTCGTGAGACTCTTCTCTCCAATTACTCACCAGAAAATCAGAAGTGGAGCTATGGCACAAAGTGGTATAGTGTTAGCCTTGAGTAGAAAAGCTCAGGGACAAAGCCCAGGCCCTGAGTCCAAGCCTCATGACTCCCCCACCCCGCCAAACAATCAACAAAAAAACCTCCAAACCCTCACCACTGTGTGTGTTATTCTTGGCCATGTCTGGCTCCTGTTGTTCCTCCTCTTTGTCCCCTCGTGGTCCGTTAAGGAGGCTGACTCCAGTACCAGGGATAATCCCCAACCTGTCCTGGCACAGTGGTGTGGCCAAGAACCAGAGAATTTTCAAGTCATAGTGCTGTCAGTACTGGAACTTGAACTCAGGACCTGGGTGCTGTCCCTTAGCTTTTGTATTCAAGGGTAGTGCTTTACTACTTGTGGCACAGCTCCATTTCTGGCTTTTCTGGTGGTTAATTCAGGCTAAGAGTCTCACAGACCTTCCTGATTGGCTTTGAACTGTAATCCTTGGAGCTCTGCCTTCTGAGTAGCTAGGATTACAAGCATGAGCCACCAGTGCCTAGCTTATTTGTACTTTTTGAAAATGTGTGTGTAGGGGCTGGGAAGCTGGCTCAGTGGTAGAGTGCTTGCCTCCATGCATAAAGCTCTGGGTTTGATTCCTCAGCACCATGTAAACAGAAAAAGCTGGAAGTGGTGCTGTGGCTCAAGTGGTAGAGCGCTAGCCTTGAGCTGAATTGCTGAGGGACAGCGCCCAGACCCAGAGGTCAAGACCACAACGGACAAAAATAAGTAAATAAATGAAGTGTGTGTAAGCAAATATGCAAACATTGCAAAGCAATAAGTAAAAGATGCCAAGATGTAGGTCCTAATGCGTGCGCTTCCAAGTGTGGTCTAGCCATTAAGGAACAAGAGATTTAGCTTTCACTTCTTTCCTCTTAGTCCTCTGAGATTCATATGTGCAATTATCCTTGCTTAAGAAAAGGACAGCAATCATTAATGAGGCTTAGACCCAGACAGGATCTACCAGTTGAAGGACCAGAGAAGACTTCCTTTTGGAGCTGGGCAGAAGGGACACAGAGAAGATTATGAGAGGACTCACTTCTGGGCTGTGTGATATCCACACTGGGTAATGGTTGTTGCAAACCCAGTAGCAACTAGAAAAAGGCTACAGCCACCACACAGCAGCCACAGGGCTGCTATGCACAGCTCTCCCAAGTCATTAAAAACAACAACAACAACAATCATGGCATATCCTAAGGAGCTGTGAATTCAACCAGACCAGCCAAATGCAGAGACAGAAACTACACATGCAAGAAGCTCAGTACTTAGCAACACATGTTGGAATCTTTTTATGAGCAGGGACAAAAAATGCCATCTAAAGGGATAAGGATGGGGTCTGGGGGCAAGAGGCAACCATAGTCTGGGGAATATACCTTCCTTGATAAAAATCAGCAGGTTGAAGAAGGCTCCAAAAAAAATAGAACTAATATTTCAAAAGCTTACATGCTCAGTTCATAATCCCATTAATTTACCCCATCATGTGTTTTCTTACTATATAGATCCTCTCTCTCAAAAAAAAGTGAGCTCTGGTCTCTTCTTGGGAATGAATTCAGTTTCAAAAAACCAAGCTCATGGAATGATGTACAATGAAGTACATGCTATACTGAACGCACTCCATCAAGGAATGGTGAGCCTACCACTAACGGGTAAGGACAAGCCAAGGGTGGCTGCCCCAATCAGGCACACACAGAAGTAGTCGTGGCCAGTGAGAGCTCAGACTGGAGAGAGAATGGCAGAAGAGAACAAGAGCATTTCTTACATGTGAATGTGTAGGGTAACCAGAGCCCTCCATGCAACTTGAAAAAAATTAAATCGTAAGTACAAAAGACCTTCACTGCACTCTATAATTTTGTTATTTCTGGGGAGAGGATCTCTTTTGGACTCTCTCTTCAAGTACTCATGAAAAATAATACAAGATGGAAAAAAAAAAAGTGACAACCATTCATATGGCCCTCCAGAGAAGTGGTTCATTTTCATTGCTTGGGTAGAACAATTTAATTTCTGGAAATGGATCAAGCAACTGTTACTAAATAGTTTAAACTCTTAATAAAAATAATGACTTAAAAAAAACATACTTTATGGCTACAGCTGCTGAGTGGTGGGTGGAAATCCTCTTCCTCCACATATTTCCTCTTAAAGTATGAGATCTTGGATGTTGTTAAAGGATTTGAAATTCCCCTGTAATGGGATCCTGTGGTAATAAATCAGATATGACAAATGACATGCGGTTTGCCAGAGGTTCTCCAAACAAAATACTTTCATTTCCTTTCCTTCTAGAAGATAGTTGGCTCTCTCTTTGTCTGTACATGTGCTGATTAAAAATAAACATTTCTCTTTAATAGTTGCTATCACATGGAATTCTGTGAGCTAGGGCAGGCAAGACTTCTAGGCGATTTATTGGAAAAATGACATCATTCTGCATTTACTTAAATAATCAGACTCTTTAATTCTATGTACAGGCAAACTTCAGAAAGGGGAAGAGTGGAGTAACTGTGAAATAATATCAGTCTTCTGAATTGTTTCATTAATTAAAACACTTAACGCCACTGTTTAAATATATACATCTTTATCTAGAACCACTGGTAATCAAACCACTTTCTGTGTTATTGGCTCTAGCTTAGTAAACAAATGGTTATCTGCACACTGGAGTTATGACATTTCTTCTTTTAAAATACAAATTTAAGTATTTAAAATTTAAATTTGGGGGTAATTAAATTCCTTTTCACTCTTGAAAATGGAACATGTCAACCATGATCTGTTTTTTTTTTTTTAGACGCAAATCGCTCTTAATCCTTTTTTTTTTTTGGCAAAACAGAGTTCCCTGAATCTTGCTTGATATTTTAGTTTTTTAAAAGAAAAAAAAAATCAATCAAAGCCAATTGTCTTCATAAAGAGAAGAGACACCTGGCTGTAACCTCTGTGCCGATCATTTCATGTGATCATCTTGGGATAAAGATTTCATTGTGAGCACAAGAGGCCTGTGTAGCTCAGAAAACCACATCGTTCCCCAGGATAAAATACCAGAATCCACACTCTTGACTTTCAGTACTTGGATTGGCTCTGTTCAAAACACAGCCCCATGATTCTCAGGCAAGCCGAAGCCCTGGGAGCTGCAGGTTGGAATGTAATTTAAATACCACTTCTGGTCCTCTCCCAGGAGCCAGGGCTGGCTTAGGATGACTGTACAGACAGCCCTGAAGCATTAATAGCTCTCAGCTCAGAGAGGCGCCTGAAATACCACCTCCCCACCAGTGTGGCCACAGAAAGCAGTAGGGTCAAGAGCTCTACCTGCCAGTGGGGGGCCGGCTCCCCGATCTCCCTGCAAAGGAGCCTGCGCTGGCCCTGGGGGGCTGGGGCCTCGGTAGCTGTCAGCTTCCCATAGTGTTTGGTACCCGGTAATTTCGGCAGCCCCTTCCGAGACAATGGGCTCGCAGAATCTATTCATGGACAGAACCAGAGTCATCTCTGACAGCCTCAGATCTGTGGGAATAAAAAAAAAGAAAGGGAAAACAGCCCTGATCAAGAGCCAGCCAGGGGTTGACCTTGACATTTTCATCTCTTTGGCTTTGGGAAACTTTTACTTCCAGGTCTTCCCCCTTCATCCCCAACCATCAGATTCCCTACCCCCCCAGCGACACCCCCCCCCCAAGAAAACCTGAGCAAACTCTTGCTGCTATTAACTCAGCCTCTGTGTTCAGCAGTCTGCATTTCAGAGGCGGATCTTTAAAACCCCACTCCTTATTGTTCTCACATTCCCCTCAGCCCTCTTCCAGACAGCTGCTTTGCCTTCTAAACACATTTTCCTCCTGACCTTCCCAGCAGAAAATGTACCACTAAAAGGCAGGGCCAAAACCCTTGCTCTTCTTTTCTATTAATAAGGCAAAATCAATTTTCTACTCAATCCCCTGGGAGTCTCCTTTGATGAAATCTGCTAATCAATCAAGGCAAAAGGGTGGGGGAGGCAGAAATCTCCACCTTAATCCCAACTGATGCTCTGGGGTTCAGGTTCAGTCTGTGCCGCTGTCCCTGTCTCCTCTACAACACGCTGGGGGCTCCCTCCACTTTCTCCTCCCAGAGGGAAGCAGACAGAGAGACACTTGGTAGTTGTTTCCACCAGCCCTGATCGGCCTGAACTGGATCTGCCTCCAGTCAAAACACTGCTAGATGAAGACAGAAAATTGGCTCCAGTTTCCAGCCGTGAGTTGCAGTCCCACAGGAGCCAAGCACAACATCAACCGAGCAGGCAGAATATTAAACAGGAGCCAGGGCTCTGGGGCCAGAGGCAGCCAGAAACTCTTTAAACTGCAAAGCCCAGACGCAGGCAGGAACTTTCCAAGAGGCCACACATCACTGCCCTTCTCTCCAGTTCACGCCCTTCCCCTTGGGTCTGCAGGGAGATGAGGTGTCTCTATAGACATGCTGCCGGCCCTGCTCCCCCTTAGGTGATGGAAGACACTGCCAGAAGGGCTAAATGTTTTCAGTTGGTCCTTCATGAGGTTCAAGGTAGGGCCAAGGGCAAGTGCAAGGGAGAAGAATCTGCTATGAAAGCTTTAAAAAGACAAGCCTGGCACTGGTGGCTCACTCCCAACTCAGAAGGCTGAGATCTGAGGGTCACAGTTGAAGCCAACCAGGACAGGAAAGTCTGTGAAACTCTTATCTCCAAGTAACCACCAAAAAGATGTAAGTGGAGGTATGTCTTGGGTGGAAAAATATCAGTCTTGGGTAAAAAAGCGCTCAAGGACAGCGGTCAGGCCCTGAGTTCAAGCCCAGGCAGACAGAAAGACAGACGACAGACACACACAATAAATAAGCAAAAAGACCCACAGACCAGGGGTGACAGCAGAGCAGACAGTGCCTTGCTAACTGCCAATTCGTTTAGGAGACCCACGTCTCTACTGTCACTTTGCGGTTTGAAGTTGTTGCAAGGTGATGCCAGGCTTGCTTTCTGAAGATTGCCTTTCAAACATACACTTGAGGGTCTAGTTGGCTCTTTCTTTTCCAAATTAGATAGCTTGTAATGTTATGGAGAAAGGATGACTCTATCATTGTCTTGGAGTAAACTATTATTCCTTACCAGCTATTGCCAGGGTCCACTTCCAAGTAAAAGGAGGAAAAACATCAGGATAACAAGGAATGGCCTCATTAAAGAGACAAAGTCCTTCTGACAGAGCAGCTCTTAGCAGCAAAGGCCCTTTCATTAGGCTTCTCTCTGCCCTCTCAACGTCAGTCCCAATGCCACTGAAGACAGGGAAGGGCTCCAGGTCAGTGGGTAGAATGAGGATCTAGTTGATGTGGGCTACTAAACCTAGCGTCCCATTTCTTTTAAGATGCCCTCCAAAGAGACATCAGATAACCATATTGTAAGTGGGGGAGGGGAGGAGGAGTGTTTAGCTGATTCTTATCAGGAAATGTGAGATATGCCATTTCTTTTTCTCTTTGAGTCTTCAAAAAAAAATATTCACTTGCATTGATTCGACAAATCAGCCATTCTGTCTAGCATCCTTCAAATTCTGTATCCAAACGAAGTATCAGAGCTCATGATACTTTATTCCACAAAGACTCTTAGGAAATGGTCCAATCTTTCAACCTATTCTAAGAGACAATCATATCAGGAAATGCTATTGCTAAGAGCAAATCATAGCTTTTTTTTTTTTTTAATTAGAAACCAGAAGTTCTTTGATAGAGGACAACAATATTTCCCAGCTGTAAATTTACAACTCACTTTGATGGTGAATTCTGTGAAGATCCAAGCCTTTTTTAAAATGTCATTGTATGTACGTGAAGACAGGTGGACAAAGCCATGACCCTTAAAAGAAAGGTATTTTCAGGTCTCGAGTCACAATTACCTTTGCTTAATAGGACGTTAATGAGGCCTGTGCTGTTTTATGTTAGTCAGTTTGTTTATATTTTAATGACTTGGGGGGGGTGGCCTTGCTGCTGGTTGTTAAGAATTCCAGTGTTTCTATTTGTTAGTACTGTTTTTAGCATATAAAATACCACCATTATGCATTTGAACTTGAAAGGTGGCCTAATAGTTTTTATATTGGTTGTTTCTTTGGTTTACAACATCTAATTTCAGTAAGTTCTTACACACACACACCTTTCTTTTTTTGAATCGGAAACTGTTACACACTAAACCCTAAAAGAGAAAGGCTGAGTTCTGCAAGTGATTTATGTAAGCCTGAATAAAACATGAATGAACTAGGATTATTTGGGAGCGAAAGGAGGAGATTTTGCAACTGAGTCTTCCTAGTCTATCTGAATTACTCTGGGATATTAATAAACGAAGAAGGCAAGTTTAATGTTGAAGAAACATTGAACTGTACAGCACTAGGCACTCAACGTTTAATGTACATCTTTATTTGTAGTCTATGTAGGGAGCCAAACTCAGTATTCTCTGCGTGTGATTTACATTACAATCCTGCTATGGTATTCAGAAACTTGTCTACAAATTTACATGCTGTTAATATTAAATATAGCCACTATATATACATATGTGTGTGTGCGTGCTTTTTCCCTTAGCATCAGAAGTGTGTGAATTCAAAAGGAGCTGATAAAGTGTGTTTTGTCTGCATATTGGTCAAAATAAGGAAGTCCTAACCTACTATGCTCTGGCTCCTGTGTCTTTTGTCATGCAAGTGGATATAGTAGCAAGACTGACTCAAGGGTCCTCAGCAGGCTGAAGGCTGGACATCAAGGCATTTATCTCTATACAATTTGGTTTTTGCATATGAGTTGGGCTTGCTCTTCCCATGGAGCCATTATGATGTTAATAGTTGCGGTTGACACCAGGCAAACATTCAGTAGCACCTTCACTTTAGCTCCTGGTCATGGTTTTAACGGGCCTCCTCCTACTTGTCACTGGCAATTAGAGAACATCTTTAGAGCATTAGAGCAGTCAGAGAAAAGATTCCGAGCCTGGAAAGCAGGTAATTCAAAGGCTGGCATTTCCAGAGCAGCTCAGGTGCACTGGACTGTCCCACTCGGGTGGACGTAAGCCCCTGTCCTCGACGTTGTCCCTACAAGCTCTCAACAACTTGTCTGCCGGTGGTGTTAGAAGGGATCAGATGATCAGGGCAAAATCTTCCAACCCTCCTAAAGAGGCAGGTGTGGCTTTTGTGCAGGTCTCTGTAGCCCTCCTGCCTGCCTGGATCATCCACTGTGGAGTCTCACAGCCAAGAGCCTTTGGCTGGGTCTCAAGAGCGGGGAATGGGAGGTTGCGGCCCAGAATGAGAGCCCTGGTGCTGGCTGTCTCCAGACCAAGTCAGCGGGAAGTGTGTGTGTGTGTGGGGGGGGGGAGGTTAGGGGGAGTCTGAGGGGCCAATCTGGCCAGCGGGTAGCACCCACCGAGTCGCCCTGAACAGACCCTAGGGGGGTTCACTCCACAGCCCAAGCCCCTTTTCCTGGACAGTGGGCAGTGCTGGTCTGGCTTGTGGCTGCAGGAGAAAGTAAACAACCCAAGAGTCTGGGAACAAAGGCAAGTTGTATTCCAAGGTGCCAGAGCACAGTACCTCTCCTGCAGAATTAAGTGCTATCATTATTCTTTCTGGCTCCTTCCTTCCTTTCTTCTTCTCTCTTCCTTTTATATATACATAAAAAAAATTAAACCAAGTTTCCTTCTAAGGGAAATAAACACACCAAAGGTAGGATTCCAAGGGAATGACTCAGGACGGCTGGCAAGGCTGGCGATGCTGGCCGGGACTCGCCGCCACTCCGCCCGCCACGGATGCCTGCCGGGTCTCGGGGCTGCCACCCCCCACCCCACGCCGCCCTCCCCGGCTGCCCAGCGCCCGGCGCGGCGGGAACCCGGCGGACGCCCCCCCCCCCTCGCCCGGGCCGCTTCGCCTGCGGCCGCAGTCCCACCCTCGGGAAAGTTGCTGGGTCCGGGGGAGGGGCAGGGGGCAGCGGCCTGGGCCCGCGGGGAGGTGAGCTGAGGACAGACGAGCCGCCGCCGCCCGCAGCGCGGCTCGGCAGCGCGGGAGGAGGGCGCGGGGGCGGAGGTGGCGGGGACCGGAGGTGTCAGCTCCGGCTCCCGCTGGAGATCGCGCGCTCCTGACACCCGTAACCCCTCCCTCCCCACCTGCCAACGCCGCGGTGCCCAGCCCGGGGGGGTCCCCCCCCCGCCCGCCACACCCGACCGAGCTCGGGACGAGGGGCTGAGCCGCCCTCCCCCCCCCCCCCCAGCCCCGAGGTCTCCTCGGAGCAGCTGTCCCCAACCTCGGCATGGCTCCTGCGCGCGCGGGCGGGAGCCGGAGCGGCCCGGGGGACACCGGGGCTCCCGCCCCGATGAAGGGAGCCGCGGTGGTCGCCAGCCCCGGGGAGAAGCCCCGCGTCCTCCCCCGCGACCGGCCGAGCGCGGACCCTGGTGCAAGCCCCTGGGGTTGGGGGACGCGCGGGAGGCCGCGTGGCGCGGGTGTGTGTGCGCGCGCGCGGGCAGGAGAACCCCCCCCCCGCTCCTCCCCGGAGACCCGGCCTCGCCCTCCGCCCGCCCGCCCCCCGCAGCCCGCGCCCGGCCCGGCTCTTACCGCGGGGGTCAGCGGGGAGGCGGCGACCGCCGCGCAGGGGCTGCCGCGGGTCCGCGGTGCGCTCGGCGCCAGCCCGGCCGCCCGGTGCGCGCTCGTGCGGGTGGCGATCCCGGTCCCCGCGGCCCGGTCGGTGGTGTCCGCAGACGCGCGCGCGCGGCGGGCGAGGGTCCCGGGCAGGTCCCGCCGCCGCGACCCGGGCGCTGCGCCGCCGTCGCTGCAGACGGTTATGGTAATGAGCGGCGGTGTCTAGCGAGCGGCGTGCGAAACCCGTCAATCCTGTTTGCCATTTCCCCGTGGATTTCCGAGGAGAGGTTCTGCAGGATGCCCCCGGGGCGAGGGGGGGGAACACGACGAGCGCCCGCCCTCCTGCCTCCCTCCCTTCCTCCGCTCCTCAGGCTGCACACGGGGCGTCTTCCCCTCACCCCCCACCCCAGCCCGCCCCCTGCCTCCTTCCCTCCTTCCCGCCCTCCCTCCTCCGTCTCCTCCCCTCCCCTCCCCTTCCCGCCCGGTGCCCGGGGACACGCGGGCGCAGCTCCAGCCCGCAAACCCAGACCCCACGCGCTCTGGGGTTCCCGCCCTCGCCCTGGGGGGTTCGGTTCCACCCACTCATGTATTCGCTCTGCAACCTCCTGAGCTGTCTCTCCTTTTAAAAAAAATATTCTTTTTGGGGTTTAGTTTTGTTGTTGTGTGTGCGTGTGATTAAAAAAAAAAAAAAAAACAATCTGTGCCTTTCCCACCCTTTGCAAAAGACTTTCTTCTGCGGTGCCTCGGCGAACGGAGATGAGAAACAGATGTCAGCGCAGGGCCCGGCAGTCAGCCTCCGCGGCGCCCCCGCCCGCCCGCCCGCCCGCCCGCGCTCCGCCCCGAGCCGCCGCCAGGGAAGGGACGAAATCAATAAAAAGAAGCACCCGTGGTCCTGCTGCAACTTGAATGGGCAACTCTTTCTGGGTGGGGGAGCCCCAGGGAAAATCCTCCAGGAAATGAAAACAAAAGTCAGACACGAAAAGTAGTACAGGCGGTGGTCCTTGGTCCATGATTGAAGCCTCAGAATCATACCGTTTTTGCAGAGTGTGGTGTTTCTCCTCTATTGGACTCTATTGGGTTTTTTTTTTTTCCCTTCCTTCCTTTCTCTTTTTAAACATTCATCCTTCATTGGTGTCTAGGGACCCCTCCAGAGTCGAGATGGGTCATTTCAGGTGTAATGAACGCAGAGGCTTGGAAGGTACAGACCTAATAAAATCAGGGGGAGGCACCTGCCCAAAAGTGTTACAAAGACTATCATGTTTGTTTACTGCTACGACGCCAGATGTGCTAAATATAACACTTCTTTAAAACAGTGCTCCTCCGACTGTGAAAAACCCAACCTCTGGCTGCCTGTCTCCCCAGGACTCCAGGAGACAACACAGACTGAAAATCCGGGCAGGAAAGAAACAAGTTCAAGGATGAGGATTAGCATCTGCAAATTGAACTCTATCTAATTTGCATGTTTATTTCTTAGAATTGTAATTAAATTTGTGTAATAAATGTTTTCCATTTCATTTGTACACTTAAAATTTGGGTGATTGACATGCAGTTAAGTGAATTTCCTTTTTCTTTTTCTTTTTAAAGCCAATGTGATTTATTCAATAAAGCAGCAAACAAATATTAAAACATAATTAGAACTAATCTGATTTGAAGGTGTTTTTGTCGCACTTTGTACATTAAAGACACTCAGAGGTTTAAGGGGTAGTGGGAAGTCAAGAAAAGACAATTATGCTGAAAACAGACTAACCCAATAAACTTACCAGGAGCATTATTTCAGTTTTTCCAGGAGATGTTCCAGGATTGCATGCCTAAAATTGGGAACAGGGTATCCATCTTGGCTTCATTCTAAGCCATATTAAATTGCACTGGCTAGTGCCTGGCGTAGGCCATTATATGATGATTTAAGAATTGTAAAGATACCCTTTCCCTCCCACTAGCAATCAATGATTTTCATATATCTAGGTTAAGGGTAGGGTATCATTGCTTTTGGGGGAGGGGAGGAGGGCAAGGAAAGAGTCACGAACATTTAAAGCAAAGTCAGTACTTGAAAAGCTAAGTCAGTATCTAAAACTGCGTCTCGTCTAACTCAAATAAATAACGAAATGTGAGGGCTTGGAGGCATGGCTTATTATTGTTTTTATCTCCCTATATTAAAGTTTTATAGCATTTAAAGGACTATGGGGAAATCCCCACACACACTTGGCTGTGTCAAAATACATAAAACCCAAAGCAGCAAATTAAGCATAAAATTGAGAAATAACATGAGACTAAAAATCAGCATGGGTTGCACTAGTATCTTTGGAGCTTCGCATCTGAGAAATGAGCCTTCTGGGAAATTGGCATTGCCTTGGGTGGAAAAGACTCTTAGCTTTAATGATACAACAAAATGACATCACAACACAAGAATCAAAACATTGTACTTCACAGCACCCTTTGAGGTTCTGAACATGAACCAACCCTGCCCTGTTCACAGATGTTCAGTTAGCCTATTTTACTGTCAGCTTTCCCTGCTATACTCTTCTAATATTAAACTGTTGTTTCTGAGAGTCACTGCCCAACTGTTGGCAATGTGAATATGGAGAAAAGATAGTCATTTAAAAAGTTGGTAAGTTGGGGCTGGGAAGGTGGCTCAGTAGTAGAGCACTTGCCTTGCATGCCTGAGGCCCTGGGTTCGATTCCTCAGCACCACATAAGCAAAAAGAAAAAAAGCCGGAAGTGGCGCTGTGGCTCAAGTGGTAGAGCACTAGCCTTGAGCTGAAGAGCTTAGGGACAGCGCCTAGGCCCAGAGTTCAGGACCCACGACCAGACCCCGCCCCCCCCAAAAAAAGTTGGTAAGTTGTCATTTATCACCAATGGAATATTATGAGTGTCAATATTCAGCTGAGAACGATGATATCATCACATTGTGTGTGTGTGTGTGTGTGTGTGTGTGTGTGCGTGTACATATATGAGGTCCTAAGATAAAAGTTTGATTATAAAAGTTGAAATAGTTTGAGTTGCAAATTCACTGAAAGCATCGACTATTTTTCTTCAATTAACAGAGTGTCAGACTTAAAACTGCTGAAACTCCATTTCACAAAGTCTTTTCTCATTTGAAAGGGAGATCTTGCAAGTCAAATCTGACTTACATTGCTCTGAACACAATGCCCATATTGGATTAATTTTTTTAATTCTAAATTACTGGCTTTAAAAACACACGAAAAGGGGCTGGAAATGTGGCTTAGTGGTGCAATGCTTGCCTACCATGCATGAAGCCCTGGGTTTGATTCTTCATACCATATACACAGAAAAAGCCAGAAGAGGTGCTGTGGCTCAAATGGTAGAGTGCTACCCTTGAGCAAAAGAAGCTCAGGGACAGTGCCCAGGCCCTGAGTTCAAGGCCCAGGACTGGCAACACACACACACTTCAGTTCTTCAGTTTGACTTTCTTATCCATTGATACACTGGAACTTCTTGTCAAGGTTATCGATAACTTTCACATTGCTAGGCCCAAGGTCATTTCTTGGTTCTCATCTTATTGGACCAACTACTGAAAGCAGCATTTGAACCAGCTGCTCTGTCCTTTTAGCCTGGTTTACAGGACAATACATACTGTCTGTCCCCTCTTCTCCTGGCTCTTTTTTACTGTCTCCTTTGCTGGGTGGGTCAGTATCTCCGCCTCAAAGCCCCCCACCCCACCCCAGTGTTGGACTTCCTCAAGCTCAAACCTTGAACTTTTCTCATAGCCACTCTCTCTGAATCTCATCGAGTCTCTCATCTTCACATACTGTAAACTCTGATGACTCTCAAATTGACATCTCCAGCCTAGACTCCTTCTGACCTGCAGACTCCATTTAGGTGTCTAGTCAGTATCAGATGTTTATAGATCTAAAACTCCATGCCTGATAGTCTCTGCTTTTTCCATCTGTATTACCATTAATAAACTATCTCCATTAATAAACTATCACTATTTTTCTAGTTGCCCAGGCAAAAATCTTGCCAGTCAGCTTTGACTCTTCCTTGATGCTCTATATCTAACACAACAGGAAGTCCTTATGGCTCCAACTTTAACCTTTTCTAGACTCTGATCATTTCTTAGCATCACTACTAAGGGTACCCTTGTCCAATTCATCATGACCCTGTTTCACTTAGGATACCTCAACAGCCTCCTTGCTTCAGTTAAATCTTGGCTCCACAGCCACTGCTGTCTATTTTTGGTGAGACTCTTCCTAAGGATCTCCATTTCACTTGAAGTAAATGCTGGAACTTGCAGCAGACTGAAAAGCATTCCTTCATTTCACCAAGCTCCAAATCACTCCAGCCGTTTTCTTGTTGTTCGCCCGACATGCTAGATTTTGCTCACCCCAGGACATTTCCATTGGCAGCTCCTTCTGCATTCTGCAGTCAATGTTCTTTCCTCAGATAACTGAATGGAAATCCTTTCTGCCACTCTCCACTGGAAATTACTCATCTTAAAACTTGGCTTCTACCATTCTCCAGTTCAAAAATCTTTAGTGTGCTCAATGCTTGTTGAACTGAAACCAAGTTCTTTATGCTTTTTAGCATATATTTTAACCTGGCTTTGTCTGCTGTCTACTATCACATACCTTCTAGAAAACGAGAACATCCATCCTTCACTAAAAATGTCCTTTGCTTTCCCATGCATGTGCCTTTCCTCGTTTGTTTCCACCATCTGAAATACTCATCACTCATTCCCTGTTCCCACCCAGTGATGCTACCTATCTTCAAGGTCAACTTCAGATTTTGTTTTCTTAAAAAAAAACCAACCACCAAGACGCGATCGATCATCCCACCGTTGAACTTCTGTGGTATCCAGTATGCCCTAAACTACTAACTAGGTCCATTATTTCTATGCTTGTCTTTGACGATTTTGTAAGTCTAGGGGGAAAAATGTCTATTTCTCCTTCCCCGCAGTGTTGTGCCAAGCTCAGTTCTTGAATTATGTACATATGCAATGTACATCATTGCTGCAGTGTGTCTGAGTGAGTTTTGTAGACAGATGAGAAAGGGGAGGAGTTCTTGGTAAAAGTAGCTTAGCCAAA